TCTCAAAGAAAATAAATGATGAAAACCTTCTAAGGCAGGCCAACAAACGAGAGATGGAGCCAACGCAGGACGAAATACATGCTTAAACAAAGGTCCAACGTGATTGTCTTCCGTGTCCAAGGATGCAAAAGCACATTATATGAAACGAAAAAGAAAAAGAGAACTCGTAAATTACCCTGCGTGGGATGCTTGCGGAAGCTAGAGTGGTAAACTTAGATGACGAAATTGAGTACAAGAGTAATGTTAAAGCTGGGTTTCTCGCGCATCTCCATTCCGGCGGTACCTTGTTGAGCCCCGTTGATAACGAGAACTTCTCTGGTTGGCAAGTTTACCATGACCCTTGGAAGTGTCATTCAAGACTTCTCTAAAAACTTGCGGGAGTATTGGCTAGCTCTTCGTGCCGCAGTAGGACACTAAGTTAAACAGAGTTTAGTAAGCGAATTTTCCTTGATATTATAGAGAGAACTTAAAAAAAAGGATATCAAATCTTGATACTGAAATAGCTTTATGACATTGGAATATAGATAAAACTCACAGCTCGCTGCTAGCTCTTCTTACATTTACATATGGCAAATCTGGTATTGTTAGTATATTCCATAATCTACTTTGACCACTGACTGGAATAATCAAAGTAGGTGCCCTAATCGCGAGAACCATGGAGAAGAGAGTAGCAGTGATTGGCGCTGGCGCGTCGGGTCTTGTAGCCGCTCGGGAGCTCCTGCGAGAGGGCCACAGCGTCGTGATCTTCGAGCAAGCCCGGCGAATCGGAGGTACATGGGTGTATGATCCTCCACCGCAAGAGTCTCACTCTAGAGCATCAAATGTGGCCCGCAATCATTCATGCCACAGCAGCATCTATCAATCGCTGCGCACGAATTTGCCGCGGGAGGTCATGGGCTTCTTGGATTATCCTTTCGTGCCGCGCCGCTCGTCCAGGGATGCGAGGAGATTCCCCGGCCACGAGGAAGTCTTGGATTACCTCGAGAGCTTTACGGTGGAGTTTGGGCTCCATGGCTACGTGAGATTTAACTCCAAAGTCAAGTATGTTGGATTGATGGAGAGCAATTGGATCGTCAAGAGCTTGAGCAGCGTTGGAAAGGAAGAAAAAGAGAGTGAGGACCTGTTTGACGCGGTCGTGGTTTGTAATGGCCATTATTTCCAGCCAAGGGTCGCTCAAATTCCTGGTAAGTTTTCTCAAAGCATCAGAACTTCATAGATAGAACGAAGAACTCTTTGTTTCTACAGGGATTGAGAGGTGGCCTGGAAAACAATACCACAGTCATACCTATCGCACTCCAGATCTTTTCAAAGACCAGGTTTGGATGATCAAACTAGTGATTTTTCAAACCTGGAAAGCTCTCCATCAGTTTCATTGTTTCACAAGGTGGTAGCAGTGATTGGAAATGGTCCAAGCGGCGAAGATTTGTGCAGCGACATTGCTGCTGCTTGCAAGCAAGTTCACTGGTGTGCCAAGTTATGGAATTCTCCGGTAGAGTCACTTCAACAAGGGAAGATCCAAAGACACTTGATGGTAAGATCAAAGTTGCGTTGTTTTCGTCTTCTCTCTAAAGTTTCTACTCTCAGATATCAAAAGCTGACAAAGATGGACGATTGCATTTTATGGATGGAACATCAGCTGTTGTGGATGCTATCTTGCATTGCACTGGGTAATTTCCGAGTTCTCCTTCTCTTTTTCGTTTCACATAATGTGCTTTTGCAGTTACTTATATGACTTCTCATTCTTGGATACCAAAAACTACGTTAAAGTGGAAGACAATCGCGTTGGACCTTTGTTTAAGCATGTCTTTCCTCCTGCGTTGGCTCCATCTCTCTCGTTTATTGGCCTGCCTTGGAAGGTTTTCATCGTTTATTTCTTCGAGCTCTTCCATCTAAGTTGTCGTCCTTTCCAGGCTATCCCTTTTCCTTTGAGCGAGCTACAAGCTAAATGGATTGCTGCCGTGCTCAAAGGACGAGCTAGTTTACCACCGAAAGGAGAGATGGCGAACGAAGTTGTGGGCTTTTACAGAACTCTCGAAGCTCAGAGAGTTCCAAATCGACACACACACCGGCTAGATCTCGAGATGGTTTGTTTTCTTTTTCTCTCTTCTTTAGTTTTTATCTCTTTTAGTTTCTAATGCCTACTGTTTCCATCTAGTTCGACTATGCTGAATGGCTAGCAAAGCAGTGTGGAGGAACTTGCCATGGCTTTGAGCCTTGGAGGAAGGAGCTCTTTCTAAGCACACGGGATAACAGGAAGCTCAATCCAGATAGCTATAGAGATGAATGGAGTGACAATGATTTGCATGAAAAGGTGGTAGCCATCCTGGTTAAGAAACAATAACAATAACAATGATGTAATAATAACAATAATGTCTTTTTCTTTTTCTTTGCAATGAACATAAAACAACAGTTAGCAAGTTCTGTCACAAAGGTATTGGTGAGTTTGAGAGGCTTTGCCAACTACCCAGCATTGGCTGGGCAAATACTAGTTTATAATAATAGGGAAGAGTTGCTAAGGTTTTTGGGCTGTCGGATCCAGCCAATGTGGGGGGGGGACTTTTATTTCTGTAACCACATTTTAATGAATAATCATTCTGCATCATCCTGCTGGCCATGGAGCTTGAGCCATTCCGGAATAACCTGCGAGGACAAAGAAAAAGAATCAATACTATCCATCAAGTAGAAAACTTCTTAACAGAAAATCACCTTCTTGCCTCGGGTTGGCAGCATTGCCTTGTGTCGCCCAAACAGTGTGATCACCCTCCAGCCCGGTACCTGGTCGTAGTTGTGGTGCACGAACAAGGCACCGAGGCGGAGATGCTTGGCCACCCAGGCGCCCAGCTCCGTTCCTCGGAGATGAGCATCATTGAACACCTGGTAGGCAGCCTTGTTGCACAAGAAGACGTCGCTCTTCTTCCCATCCTCGTCCCGAGGAGTGTCCCTGTTATGAACTGGAAAGAAGCCATACTTCATAGCCACCACCTCGTCAAGGCCGCTGGGGTGGAGCTTCTCCTTCTCCTCCGTGCATGGACGCCTTGGGGAGGCGCCGCTCCTGCTGCTGCGCCTGCGTTTGGGGCTCCTGGAGCGCGGCCTGTCGCCCGAGCGTGGCCTGCGGGAGCTAGAGGCATCCATTCCATCGTCAAGCCTGCGCTTGCCCGAGCGTCGCCTGCACAAGCTAGAGTCATCCATTCCATGGTCATCCCTGCTGCTAAGCCAGCGCTTTGGAAGCCCAAGAGGCCTGCTATCCATTCCATCGTCGTCCCGAGGCCCGCGCTCTGGCCTGGCACTTGCATGAGCGTCGCCGTCGTCCAACTCATGCCCTAGTCTCCCAGATTAGGGCTGATTGATGATTAGAACTTGACGGTGATTCTGATGCCATCGTTTGGCATGGATTCAGTGTGTTGCTACTGCACTTTGTTTAAATTTCACAGCAGCGTTTTGAACAAATGAAATCAAAGGTTATCTATCAGCCTTTTGGATTGAAGCCTTGTGGATGCACAATCCACAACGCAGTTTCAAGCGGCAACAAACAGCATCTAAGAATGCAATCTAAGAATGCAATTGCTGCCAGACGATCTCGAGAGTTGCGCATGTCAAGGTGAAGATTGCCATCCAAAGAACCCTAAACAGCAGCAAAGTTCCAGTAATCTTGCAGAATACCTAGTATGTCTCCATACAAGAAAGGAAATTGACTGGTAGCTACTAGACTAGCAAACAATTTTCAACTTCTCCATTGGCAGAGGTTTGTTGCATTAACATTTCCTGTCTAGAGACATCACTGTTTTTGGTCTTGGATGGTGAAGGTTACAACAAGGGAAGAATTAGACGTCTGGAAAAATACTCCCTAAGTTTCTTGTAAGAGAACTCTACTTCTCTTTTATTCTACTTCCTGTCTATATTCTGAAACGGGCACAAAATAGTTGTTTGTGGCTGTTCACAACGAAAATATGGAAGTATTTTCTCACATCAGCAGCCATATGCACGAAGCAATTGTTGGTAAAGTTCTTTCCATTCTTCTATAAGTGTTTTATGTTTAGTTTTTGATTGAAACAGCTTCTGGAATGGAAGCTATGAATTTGAAACAAATTAGTGAAGTTGGCTGACATGCTCTCCTTGTGTGTGCTTCTCTAGATATGATCTCGTAGAAGTGTAAGCATCCACTAGTAATTTCATATTGACACTTATTTCATTTTAGTTGATAAATTTGTCACAGTTTCAGTAGCCACTTGTGAGATTTCAAAACAGCTGCTATTTACAGGTGAGACATGGTGTCTTTTCTCACTAATACCGGTTTGAGTATAACAGTTCCATTCGTCCAGCTCTTCAATTGCATATGTTGTTCTCTATGATGGAGTTTGGCGTGCCTGTGAGAAGCACGATGGTATGTTGTGAGCTACTCGTCTGGACTTATTGCAGCAATTGTTGACCGTCTACTTTGTAGCAGATGCATAGTTTGAGCTCGAGCTTGTGTTTGCAACAAGTGCTTTCATTCCTACAATACCTCTTGTGATACAAAAATTGTTTCAACTTCTACAAAGTTGAAACAATTTTTGTACCACTATAGATACTGTGAAACCCAGTTTACCCTAAAAGTTGCTCTCAACTCGAGGAAGAATGCCTCAATAAGTCACAGCAGAACTTCTTGTATCAGAAGGAAGGCTGGGGATACCTGAGGGAGAATGAAATCTTGCTTGCAATGAGATGAAAGAGTTTGAGTTCTACTTGAAGAGCTCTCAACTTGGTCATGATTCTTAGAAAGTTTTTGTATGGAAGCTACTTGGGAAATGCTTGAAATCCCAATACTAACATAAGAAAATTATTCTTGTTTCCTATTCCCACTTAATATATATTAATTTTAGTGTTCATCTTCCATTCCAAGAAGGAGAGAATTTTCATATCTTTAAGTTTAAATTTTATTATTATTAACACAAAATAATATTACCAATAAATTAATGCTTAATTCTTTGTCACTGACTGGACTAATCAAAGAAGATGCCCTAATCGCGAGAACCATGGAGAAGAGAGTAGCAGTGATTGGCGCTGGCGCGTCGGGTCTCGTAGCCGCTCGGGAGCTCCTGCGAGAGGGCCACAGCGTCGTGATCTTCGAGCAAGCGCGGCGAATCGGAGGTACATGGGTGTATGAAGAGAATCACTCTGGATCATCAAATGCGGCCCGCAATTATTCATGCCACAGCAGCATGTATGAATCCCTGCGCACGAATTTGCCGCGGGAGGTCATGGGCTTCTTGGATTATCCTTTCGTGCCGCGCCGCTCGTCCAGGGATGCGAGGAGATTCCCCGGCCACGAGGAAGTCTTGGATTACCGCGAGAGCTTCGCGGTGGAGTTCGGGCTCCATGGCTACGTGAGATTTAACTCCAAAGTCAAGTATGTTGGATTGGTGGAGAGCAATTGGATCGTCAAGAGCTCGAGCAGCGCTGGAAAGGAAGAAAAAGAGAGTGAGGAGGTGTTTGACGCGGTCGTGGTTTGTAATGGTCATTATTTCCAGCCAAGGGTCGCTCAAATTCCTGGTAAGTCTTCTCAAAGCATCTAAGAACTTTCATAGATAGAACGAAGAACTCTTTGTTTCTACAGGGATTGAGAGGTGGCCTGGAAAGCATTACCACAGTCATACCTATCGCACTCCAGATCCTTTCAAAGACCAGGTTTGGATGATCAAACTAGTGATTTTTCAAACCTGGAAAGCTCTCCCTCAGTTTCATTGTTTCACAAGGTGGTAGCAGTCATTGGAAATGGTCCAAGCGGCGAAGATTTGTGCAGCGACATTGCTGCTGCTTGCAAGAAAGTTCACTGGTGTGCCAAGTCATGGAATTCTTTATCAGAGCCACTTCAACAAGGGAAGATCCAAAGACACTTGATGGTAAGCTCAAAGTTTCGTTTTTTTTATCTCGTATTTCTCTAACGTTTTTTCTTTTAGATATCAAGAGCTGACGAAGACGGACGATTGCATTTTATGGATGGAATGTCAGCTGTTGTGGATGTTATTTTGCATTGCACTGGGTAATTTACGAATTCTCCTTCTCTTTTTCGTTTCATATAATGTGCTTTTGTAGTTACTTATATAACTTTTCATTCTTGGACACCAAAAGCTACATTAAAGTGGAAGACAATCGCGTTGGGCCCTTGTTTAAGCATGTCTTTCCTCCTGCATTGGCTCCATCTCTCTCGTTTGTTGGCCTTCCTTGCAAGGTTTTCATTGTTTGTTTCTTCGAGCTCTTCCATCTAAGTTGTCGTCCTTTCCAGACTATCGCTTTTCCTTTGAGCGAGCTACAAGCTAAATGGATTGCTGCCGTGCTCAAGGGACGAGCGAGTTTACCATCGAAAGGAGAGATGGCAAACGAAGTTGTGGACTTTTACAGAACTCTCGAAGCTCAGGGTGTTCCAAAACGATACACTAACCATCTATATCTCGAGACGGTTTGTTTTTTTTTTTTAATTATTTTTTCTAGTGTTTTTCGTATCCAACGATCTCTTCTAGTTTCTAATGCCTGGTGTTTCAGTTCGACTATGCTGAATGGATAGCAAAGCAGTGTGGAGGAACTTGCCATGGCTTTGAGCCTTGGAGGAAGGAGCTCTGTCTAAGCACACTAGATAAGAAGAAGCTCAATCCAGGTATCTATAGAGATGAATGGAATGACAATGATTTCCATGAAAAGGTGGTGGCCATCCTGGCTAAGAAACAACAACAATAACAATAATTCCTTTGCTTTTCTTTGTAATGAACATCAAACAATAGTTTAAACATATATATACTACCTATTTGCTGCCGGGCGAAAATGGGAATTTCTTTCCGCTCTCTCTCTCTTGTTCCTCGCTCCAGTTTCCATCCATCCATCTTGTTCCTCGCTCCAGTTTCCATCCATCCAGTCAATGCAATCCAATCGACCCAATCCATAACAAATACTGTTTTGATTGTTATAGTTTTGTTACATTGAAAACGAAATTGGAATAATATTAAAATAACAAATATTATATTTCACTTTAGAAGAAGACTTGGAGGAAATAACTATAAACATGTGACACAGCAAGTCCACTGCAAAAAGTTAAATGTCAATGCTGGTCAATACATTACGTGTCGCAACACTTCTTTTTTTCCGCCATAGGCAATTGATAACTTCCCTGCATCAATGATTATTCATTAAGACATGGTGTAAGAAATCACACTGCTGTTTTGTTTCACTCCGTCTAAGCATGATGTAAAAATACTTTTCCCGGTGTATAGAACAGCACTTGTGCTGGAATGTGTGTAAATGTGTTAAAAATTTCCCCTAGGAAATATTCTCAAGAAGATTGATGTTATCATATGTTCTTCCTTATCACTCTTGAACATTTTATTGTAGATTTGGAGTTGGACTCTGCCCACTCTCGAAGAAGATCCAGCACTAAAGCAATCATGTTTCCAGCTTTGTAAGTTTATATTCTTTGTAAATCATAGAAATTTTGCTCACTAGACTCTACTTATTGTGTTAAAGGTCTAACTTAGTTTAAATCCTTGGAAATAAAAATGAATAGTGTGCCATCTGGATATCTAAACTGTTGTTTGATGTTCATTGCAAAGAAAAAGAAAAAGACATTATTGTTATTATTACATCATTGTTATTGTTATTGTTTCTTAGCTAGGATGCAAATTATTGTCACTCCATTCATCTCTATAGCTACCTGGATTTCAACGGTGTTCTTTCGGAATCCAGATTGAATCTATCGAAGATATAATCTTTGAAAGAGCGTTCATGTCCCTCTTTGCCAAGATTCTTACATGGTTTACATTGTTCTTGTATTTAAAATGCAGGAAGAGCTAGTAACAAGATGATATGATGGATTTGTGGATGTATTCCGAGGTGTTCTTTGGGAAGAACTCCAGCGAGCTCTTGTTCCTGAGGCTCTCCTGCTGATTTTTATCTCTAACATGTGATAAAGCTATTTCCTCCAACTACGTGGGCGTGCGAGCTCAATCACGGTGCGCAGTGTTATGGCGTGGCTCATTGCGATTCGATAAAGTTGTGAGATGGATTATGTCATGGATGTGTCTATCTATGTATGCCATGAGAAGGCAGAAGGGACATCGTTTTCTGCGGTGACGGGGATTGATCTTTCCTCGAGGCTCAAGAAGCAGCAGAACAATTAGAGACCCCCGTCATGGAGCAAATGCTACTCTCTGGAAATCGCCATATGTACCAATTGGCAAGTTTTCTAGTGCTCGATCTCGCGCCAGAGCCAAGTGGAATCGATCTTATAAGCACTTCCACATCTCCTTTGATCAAGGACATGTGGACCTTACTGGTCTTACTCTTACTAGACGAGAACATCAGACCTAAGAGAGTAATCGAGGTCTTCCTAGAGTGAGCCCCGACTGACTGGACGGCTAGCCCTTGATTGGATCAAAGCCACATTGAAACCATGACGGTGACAAGCGTGGAGCAGATGCATGAGCTCTAGAGCTGGATGCCTTCTATCGGACACGATTCACAACAGAGGACCAGCCATGACTGGAAGCAAGGTTGGCTCGAGCTGGACTCAATAGACGAAGGATCGGTTCTATACGTGGGATAGGATGCGAACTAATATCTGGTACGACTTTAAATCAGGCCACCCAGCTCAGTTGAGGTTCTTAACCTTGTGGCGCCATGCTTGTGGATTAAGTCTTCCTCTTTTTTGAATCTTCCTTTCTTTGTGTGCTCTTTCGGAATCCGGATTGAATCTACCAAAGATTCAATGGCGTTCACGTGCCAAGATTCTTACATGGTTTACATTGTTCTTGTATGTATAATGTAGGAAGAGCTAGTTATCGCGAGGTGTTCTTCGGGAAAGAACTCCTGTGGAGCAGCGAGCTTTTGTTCGTGAGTTTCTCCTATCCATCATGCCTCCCGGAGCTCCAGAAACGGTATCAAAGATTTTGCTGGGTTTTATCTATAATATGAATGATCCAATGTGATATAGTTTCAAAAGCTATTTCATCCAACTAAGTGGGCGTGCGAGCTCAGTGCTGCGATCACGGTGTCAGTTTTCCAGTGGGTAGTAGTGCAAGGTAAAAAAACACTCTAGATTTGATCCTACTTTGCTCTTTTCTATATCCTTTTTTTTACAGCGGTTTGAAGTAGATGGTTAAGCGCCCCAGCATTGAAAGGTGCTCAAGGTGCTGCTAGGGCGTCCTTGTGCTTGCGGCGCACTGAATAGTTTTGTCTTTGTAGATTTTACCTGCATTTAAGAATCTTCACACTGCTGTTTTGTTTCACTCCGTCTAAGCATGATGTAAAAATACTTTTCCAGGTATCTAGAGAACAGTGCGTAAATGTGTGTAAAGATCCCACCCACACAAATGACACCCAGTACGAGAAGATTGATGTTTTCAGAAGTTCCTCTTTGAACGTATATTTGGAGCTGCGAAATCTATGGACTCGATGAATTGTTCTTTATTAGAGATTCTGTAAAGATTCCACTAATTGATTAGGATGCCACACGGTGATTGTATTTTTGTTTGTTGATTCTTTTGAGGCTATGGAGGCTTTCAATGGTTCCTAGCGTTTGATGTAATATACGCTGTGGCGGAATCTAGTTTTTTTTGAGATTGCACAATTGTCAGTGGATCTACGCAGATAATGGTCGCAGGGAAGGTTCTGGAGCTCATTTCAACGCCTCATGTCGTTTGGCTTGGGCTCCTTAATGTAAAGAAGGTATTCTTCGTCTCGTCAGCAGCACGAGACTAACAATTCGCATTCGCGGGAGGTGGCTTCGTTTTGGCTTGACCTTCAGGCGAATAAAGAGCGAGGCTGCAAGGTCAGATTCTTCTCATTCTCACAGCAGAAGCAACCGAGCAAGATGGCACTGGCAGTGGGGTAGTTCTCCCATCTCGGTTTTCTCATGGGCTTCATCATCAACCAGATAGTTAATCGCCACGTCTGGGTCCGTCTGGAGTTCAAGCTCAAGAGGTTTGTAACTTGGCTTGGGTGGGATACCGAGCTCTCAATCCAGCAACGTCAACGAGATCTACGACCTCTACGTCGCTCATCTCACCGACACCAACACCAAAGCTCGGCAAACAGGATCCAGTTTACCAGAGTGAAGAACGCTATATAGCTGAATTGCCGTGGCAAGGGAGTGAAGGACAAGTTCAAAGGAGTCACATTCTCCTGGACTTTCAGCGTCACCGAGTCCTCCGGCAATGGACGGCCCAGTTACTACGATCGAAGTGGAGGAACACAGCGAGAGTACGTCGTCCAAGTTCACAGGAGGCACAAGTATACGCTCTTGCCGGAGTACATGAGGGAAGTTATCAAGCCTGGGGAGAGCTTGAAACGACAGAACCAAGACTGGCAGCTCTACACCAGCATTCGACACTCAATGGAGCGGGTTTACAAGAACAAGACGTGGAGATCGGTGCCTTCAAGCATGCCTTGACGTTCTCAAGTGGCGCTGGATCCCGAGCTCAAGAACAAGATCATCCAGGACCTGGACTCCTTCATGTAGTTTGCGATGGCAGAGATGAGCGACGACTTCCCAGTCCCTGGTGGCCCAGATACCCGCGCTTCCAAGCTCTCCCAGCTGAAGAACTCCTTGCCACCCACGCAGTACGATGTCTACGACATGGAGCTGACGGAGGTGAAGAGCAATGCCGACTTGAGGAAGCTGCTCATGGGGATAGAGCTCTAGAACTAGAGCTATCATCATGATCGAGGACATCGACTGCTCGCTGGAGCTTAAGAAGAGGGGGAATCCAGCACTGGAAGAAGAAACCAAAGAGACGGATGGCGAGTCCGAAAAGAAGACAAGAAAATGGATGAAGGGAGTAGCAAGCTTACACTGTCGGGGCTACTGAATTTCATCGATGGGGGGTGAGAGAATCATTATATTCACGACGAACCACAAGGAGGATCTGGATGGATCTGGTCAGGATGGCACATTTTCATGGGATACTGTGGATTCGAGGTGTTCAAGGTGCTCTTGAGATCTTGCAGCCCAGGGAGTTTGAAAAGGAGTTTGGGGAGATCAAAGCATCGCCAAGGTTGAGATCACTCCTGCTGAGGTGTTGGTCCAGAACAGGGGGAACTCGAGAGGGGCTCTAGTGAAAGTGATTGCGACTTGCCAGGATCGAAAGGAGCAAGGCTGCGACTCTACAGGTTGCAAATAAAAAAGGTGAAAGTGGTAAAAACGAACTTTAGAATGAGGAAATAATCTTTACCATAATTATTTCTCTACAGTTTTGTGCAAATTGGCTTTGTAGTAGAAGTTGGACCTTTTAACAAAATAAAGACTGCAATTAGTGAGCAAATGATATAAAAACTTACAACGTTCAAGACATGGTTGCTTCAATGCTGGATCCTCTTCGAGAGAGGGCGGCTGGAGTCCATAGATCATCTCGCAGCTCATGTCCTCAAAATCTACACAAAAAAAGAGTTCAAGTGATCAAACAAGAAATGAAAAAATCAGTCCTCTTACTCGGTGTCATGGTCAGAGGCAGTCCAAAGTCATTTGTGAATAAATCTTGGGTGGGAATTTTACACACATTTACGCACATTCCAGCACAGGAGCTGTTCTCTAAATACCTGGAAAAGCAATTTTTACATGCGCACTTTTCTTCTTTGTAGAATTCTTACCTGCATTTCAGAATCTTCACACCACTGTTTTGTTTCACCCCATTCACTTCTACCTCAAACGTCTGTCAAAGAGTTTGATAAACTAAAATCAAATCTACACTATTTTTTACCTCGCAAGGTCCTACTAGCCACTGGAAAAATGGCACCGTGATCGCAGCATTGAACTCGCAAGCCCATTTAGTTGGAGGAAATAGCTTTCGAAACTGTATCACAATGTTCGCTCAGCCATCACATAGATAAATAGTACCGTTTCTGGAGCTCCGGGAGGCATGATTGATAGGAAAACTTGACGAACAAGAGCTCGCTGCTCTACAGGAGTTCTTCCCTTGAGAACCCCTCGCGATACATCCACGAACCCATCGTATCCCGGCTTGTTGGTAGCTCTTCCTACATCAGATTTCTTTAGATCATACAAGGACGATATAAACCATGTCAGAATTTTATCCATACCTGTGGCACTCTCCATCTTCCTGGAAAAGAGGGACATGAAAGCTCTATCAAAGATTGAATCCTTGTATCGTGTCTTCTGGCCCATTGGCGCTGGCTTTCCCGACGGCTCCGCGATCTCACAGCGAATCAAGCTTCTATGGAATGAAATCGCGGGCGCGCCCAGCGCCATTCCGCAAGAACCAGAAAAAAATTAAAAAATGCCACGAGCAAAACGAGATTGCGATAACCGCCGCCCGGGGGGCTCGAACCCCCGACCACAAGGTTAAGAGCCTTGCGCTCTACCAACTGAGCTAGGGCGGCTTTGCATGTGATTGGGAAGAAAATTCGACAAACTTCTAGTTTCATCTTTTAAGCCTCTCCTGGAAGAGTTGGCACAAGTGCCATGCAAAACTGAAGAACAATATCAAGTAGCAGCGCTGTAGATTTAGTTATAATAGAGTATCTTGTGTTGAGAGTGGGATTCGAACCCACGCCCTTGCGGACCAGAACCTTAATCTGGCGCCTTAGACCAACTCGGCCATCTCAACTTCTTGTTTAACATTAATCGCGTGCCAACTTTCACGTTAAGTCGTCTAGCTTTATCTTCGTCCCCGGATTCGCTGGAGGAAACCCTCTCTGCCGGGCCTGGATTCAGCACACGCTCGCCATCAATGGCGGTGGGAAGAACGAGATGAATCGTTGAGCCGGAAAGAACCCGAGGCCCAGAGCTCTTGAGGCGGTGGCGAAGAGGAGCGGGAGACGATGATTTTTCTTTGTTCGTTCTTCTAACCCGGCAATGATCAGGAGCGAGGAGTACTGGCGCCAGGCAAAGTTCCTAACCCAACAGTACCAGGGCAGCAGCGCGAAGGCGTGAGAGGACTACGAGAGGCAAATCGCCTCGAAAACCTTGCCTTGGGACCAAGTTGAGAGCGATCGAGTGATGCACCAGCAGTGCCAGAAGCAACATTGAAACGATAAAAGAAAGAGTAAGAATGAAAGAAATCTATCTAGCAAAAAATCTAGAGCAAGCACTCTTGCAAGGGATTCACGACCTCACAGCAATTAATATTCAAGCGCAAACTTGTCGCTCCATTTTGGTAAAAACACGAGACAGTAAAAACGGGGCTTGAATCTTGCCGTAAATAATTGACACAAGAAGATTAATTTCTCTCATGGATACATTGAGCTCGAAAATCGAATTTTGATATATCATGATCATGTTTCCACATCCTACGTTGGGTGTAAGAAATATTCTAGAAAACGTTTTTGCACTCTTTCATAAGTTGCACATTATTATGAACAGCAGCTTATTTTCTCTCAAACACTGGAGACGATGGCACTGCTGTACGACTTGTCATAAGCCACAGAGTAAAGCATCACACCTCCGTACTTGGAGGAGCCCTTGATGGTTGGCAAGACCTGGGACGTAAGAACATTAGGAGGCATGTATCCAGACCCAGCAGCTTGAGGTGATGCTGGCAATCCCATGAAAACCTTGACAGTGCTTGGGGTGACGGAGTTTGAAACCCAATTATTCCAAGAGCCCAAGATCCCGGAAACTCCATTGTTGTTGTACTGACACTGTGGATTGTTATAGAACTGCACGAACACATATGTGAACAGCCCGGGAACCTTGATCACGGATCCAAGGCTTGCGTCTGGGATTGGACACTGAGGAGCAGCGCTTAGAATCAAGTTACCATTGAAAGATTTGAGCTTCTGAGCCATGGCGATGTAATACTGCTGTGGAGTGTTGCCCGTCTCGATGTCAAAGTCGACGCCGTCAAGAACAGCGGACCCAAGCGGACGATTGCTCGAAGAACCGCCCAAATAGTTGTTCCAGATGTAGGTGGCGACGGACTCGCCATCGCTGGACGAAGAGAGGCCATAGCTTCCGGCGCCACCGCCGATCGACAGGAGAACCTTGATGCCTTTGCTCTTGCAAGCGTTGATGTCCGAAGTGAGGCCTTTGCAGCCACCGGAGGGTGGATCGCAGTGCCCGGCAAGGTTGAGAAGTGGGGTTTGCCCTCTTCCAAACTGCGAAAGGAAGGAGATGATAAGAATGCGGTATCTTCCAGTGTTGCAAGCGCTGAGCAAGGTCCCTTCGTTTCCATCTTGGCCCCAGTATATTGCTATGCCACCCTTGGTTGTGCTTCCACCGCCGCCGCCACCGCCGCCGCCGCCGCCACCTCCGCTACCTGGGCACTGTGAAGCACAGTTTCCAGATCCACAGTATGCATCGGTTGTGCCACAGTAACCAAACTTGCTACAGCAGTAACCGGATTGGCAAAGCTTGGCTGCTGAGCAAGAGCCATCTTGTGCAAGAACTTTGATGCTCACAGAATTGATCAAGAACAAGCAGAGAACAACACTTGTGATTATCTTCATGTCTAGGTGAATCTGCAAAGAAAAGAAAAGAAGACGCTTGTTAAGTAGCCAAGCCGGTGCCGAGAAAGTCCATCATTCCTTTGAAAACCGCGGAAGATTGCTGTTTTCTTTTGAACTCTCCTCTTTGGAAACGTGCAGTCAACACCAGTTTCAAGGAGACTTTGACCAGTAAAGACTGTAGGCCTGAGGTGGCAATTATATATCAATGTCAAAGACCAATTCAAAACATAGTGGAGCACTAAGTTCCACCACCAATTCAAAATCAAATTCCACTACTATAAATCACGATCTAATCTTCTTCCAAGAAGGAGAGGTTCTCTAAACTTTGTCAAGGAGGGTGATCACCAACACTCTTTGCAATGATCACAGGGATCTTAATCTCAATCCTTCTCCTTCTTGTTGTTAATCTCTCTCAAGCAGCAGACATTTTAGGCCACAATGCGAGGCTCAAGAGCAACAATTTAGTGAGGAACAACATCAAATCCCAAGATGGGCGTTTCAATCTGGTTTGTGAGAATCATGTTTATAATTCACAATACATTCTGATTTATAATGTACAGATAATGCAATCGGATTGTAATTTAGTTTTGTATCGGACAAGTGATAACAAGCCTCTCTGGGCATCACGCACGGATAAGAAAGCATCTGGTTGCTATGTCTTGCTCCAAGGAAATGGGAACCTCGTCATCTTCAACGACGCCGACGTGGCAGTCTGGGACAGCGATACCATTGACGTCAGCAGCAAGGACGACGAGCAGTACCGCCTCGTCACCCAAAACGATGGCAACGTTGTCATCTACACGTCGGACAATAAGGCCACCTGGGCCACACATACTGTAAACTAAGGTAGTGACGTGGCGAGATAACTACTCCACGTGGCAGGCTTTTGTACTGACACATCAGCCTTAAAGAAGTTTTTCAAAAGTTTAAACATGTGTTTTAGGGCTAGCGGGAAGGAGGGAATGGACGCGTCGTGCTCCGCGAGCTGGGTGAGTGGTAGAATCCAGAGTTTCAGTCGAATTACACCGCGAGCTTCTAGCTCGGATCAAAATGGGCCGCAAAGCGCGATGGAGCGAGCCGCTGCTTATCGCAAGAAAATGGAGGAGCTGAAAATCAAGAAAAGCAAAGAGGAGGAGAAGAGCCCATTATCGTCGAACGAGGTGGAAGTCGAGATTATCACGAGAGATGGGGTGATCAAGAGGCGAGTTCCACGGCCTCAGGACTCCCTCACGCTGGAGATCAGGAAGAAGGGGATGGAATTCGTGGGGCTGGACTTCTCCGAGAAGAAGAAGCCGGGGCGGCCGGCGGGATTGATCGCCGAGTTTGAAGCTCCGCCTCCCGGACAGCTCCCGGAAGTGGAGATCATCACGAGAGACGTCGAGGATGCATCGAAAGCTGGAGATGATTTGTACAAGCCCAAGGTTTCTACGTGGGGTGTGTTCCCGCGGCCTCCAAACATCTCCAAGACGGTAAAAAATCAGTTTTCTTTTTTCTTTTTTTTTTTTTCTGGAAGAAGAGATGGCACGTTTTGTGTTTGATCTTTGATCTTTGTTTTTCTTGTAGTTTGGAGGAGGACGAACAATAAAACCGGGAGAAGAGCTTGAAACTGACGAGGAGAAGAAAGCTCGCGAAACAAAGACTAAAGAGTTGCTTGCCGAGTATCGACGAAAAATGGGCCTGGATATTGATCCGAGAGTTTCTTCCGAGTGCCAAGAGGTTTGTATTCCTCTTTTGTTTCAGATCTCTCGATTTCTAAATGGTGGAACATGTAGTTACGTTGCAGATCATGAGTAAAGCAGAAGGATTGCTCAAGAGTGGCAAGTTAAGAGATGCAGTGCAAAACTTTGAGATTGTCATGGAGAAGATGGTTTTCCAGGTTTCAGTCATGAAGTTTCAGTCGTTGTTCTAAAGCAAAATTCGTTTTTTCTGCTTGGCAGAGCGAGCTCCATGGACAAGCAGCGCTCTCAAAGGCATTGTGCCTCGAATCCATGAATAGGTAAAATAATCTCCAGCTTTTCTCTTTCACAAAGTTGTCTTTCTTTCACTCCAGATCGCGTGAAGCTCGCGTGATCTATGACAAGCTTGTCTCGCATTCAAGTCAGAGCGTCAAGAAAAGAGCCAAACAACTCATATTTAGTTTCGAGGTAAATCAAAGAACCTTGTCATATAGTTTCGGATCTCGTCAATCAAAAACTTTCTAGGCCGCGGAGAAGCTCAAAGTAAGTGAAAACTCAACATGGGACGCGAACGCTTACCGGGACTACTTCGAGCTCATTCCAAGGAAGTACACTCGCTACAACTCGTCCTACACAAAACCATCCAGTGAAGAAGGAGAAGATGATCAAAAAGCGGCATTTACAGAGGGATTGTTCTACTTTGTACTAACTTTGGCTCCTGTGATACTGGTGTTCGTGGTTGCCATTCTCAAACGAAATGGACACTAATCAAAAGTATAGGATTTTATCTTTCTGACAAGCAAAGCCGCCCTAGCTCAGCTGGTAGAGCGCAAGGCTCTTAACCTTGTGGTCGTGGGTTCGAGCCCCACGGGCGGCGGATTTTTTGTTTTGTGTTGCGTGCTTGGCACACGCTGGCTCTCTCGTTTTGGTTGTAGATTAGTTTTTTTTCTGGTTCTTTTGGAATGGCGATGAGCTCCGTTTCACTGCATAGTAGAAGCTTGATTCGCTGTGAGATCGCGGAGCCGTCGGGAAAGCCAGCGCCAATGGGCCAGAAGACACGATACAAGGATTCAATCTTTGACAGAGCTTTCATGTCCCTCTTTGCCAGGAAGATGGAGAATGCCACAGGTATGGATAAAGATTCTTACATGGTTTATATTGTCCTTGTATGATCAAAAGAATTCTAATGTAGGGAGAGCTAGCAAAAAGACTGGATATGATGGGTTCGTGGATGTATCGCGAGGTGTTCTTCAGGGAAGAAATCCGGTAGAGCAGCGAGCTCTTGTTCGTGAAGTTCTTCTATCAATCATGCCTCCCGGAGCTCCAGAAACGGTACTATCAAGATTTTCCTTTTCGAGTTTTATCTATGTGATGTATTGTGATATAGTTTCGAAAGCTATTTCCTCCAACTAAATGGGCTTGCGAGTTCAATGCTGCGATCACGGTGCCATTTTTCCAGTGGCTCGTAGGACCTTGCGAGGTAAAAAAAATCCACGAATTGATCCTAGTTTGTTCTTTTCTATATCAAACTTTTTGACAGCGGTTTGAGGTAGAAGTGAATGGAGTGAAACAAAACAGCGGTGTGAAGATTCTTAAATGCAGGTGAGATTTCTACAAAGAAGAGAACTAAGCATGTAAAAATACGTTTCCAGGTATCTAGAGAACAGCAACTGTGTTGGAATGTGCGTAAATATGTGTAAAATTCCCACCCAGGATTTCTTCACAAATGACTTTGGGTTGCCTCTCACCATGACACCAAGTACGAGAAGATTGATGTTTTTATTTCCTCTTTGATCACCCTCAGCGTTTTTGTAGATTTTGAAGACATGAGCTGTGAGATGATCTATGGGCTCCAGCCAACCTCTCTCGAAGAAGATCCTGCATTGAAGCAACCATGCCTCCAGCTATGTAAGTTTAGATTCTTGGTATCAAAAAGATCTTGCTAATTTTTTTTTTGTTTTATGAGAAGGTCCAACTTCTACAACAACGGCTGTATGCACAAAACTCCAGCAAGACTACTAAGAAAAAATAAAATAATAATAATAAAGCTTAAAGGTTTATTTTTTTATATGGTACGTGGCTATTAGTAATAGTATGTGTTTCTTGGCTGGTCTCCCCATTTCTAGCTAGTTGTATATACCAATTTAATATTCACATCAGTGGCATAGCAACATTAACAATAACATTCGAAGAAGCTTTTAGTTTGAAATTTAATCTCTCTAGACTTTCAATTTCTTTTTTCAAAAGATTGTAAATTTACTCAATTAGCCACTCCTCTAACATTGAATTTAGTTTCGAAATAATTGAGTTATGAATCTAGCTTGTATGAGTAAAGTCCTACAACAATAAAGCCAACTTGATTAGTGGCCATTTACCCCTAGATCTCAACAGCCTCATAAATATAGCACTACTGAAGAACTCAAACCTAAGTGCACAAATGTGAAATATTGACCTTGACTCTCAATAATTTCGAAGCAATGTATATTGCTTTTGGCACTGACTCTTCAAATTATCTAGTAAGTATAGTTTAATTCTTACTTGCATGTTTGTTTTTGTTTTACATTTTAGGTCTAAGCCTAAGTTTCATATTATGAGTATTTATAGGCCATAGAACATTAAATTCCATTTGGCTCTATTTTACATATTAGATTTAGCATTGAGATGTTGAAAGTTTTAGAATTACTCTAATGTCGCTCTATGCTCTTATCCCTTTGCTCATTAAAATCTACACCGTAAAGTCATTTTGTGTTTCAATTTCTTACGCTAGTTATATATTCGGGAGTTTAGCTTCATTCATTCATTGAATAGCATAAGGCTTTAAATTTAAATTCCACTCTACTACCCTTGGCTCATGTATCTAATGGTTTTCCTATGATAAACTATTATAGGGAAAAGGTGAAAACCATATGTGCTTTAGATATGTGGCCAAAGGTTTAATTTCCACTTCATGGTTATTCTATGGTAAATTATTGTAAGATAAAGGGTGAAAACTATATGTATTATAACCATTTTGAGAACCTAATCAAAGTTATTGTAACATTATTGCGTATAGTGAGATAAGATATCTCTCCATGGAGAAAGTTGGAAGGTTAAATTTTCCATCTGTGGTAATTCAAGTGGTTAATATTTGGTAGGGCCTATTAGAGATTGATATTTTGTTTCATTAGTCTTAATGAAGATTATATTGATAGTTTGGTTATACTTTTCTGTCATTAACATTTATGCATTTTGCTAGTTAGCAATTATATTGGTGTTCAAATGAGTTGAGTGGCAAGTTAAATTAGTTGTGCTTTAGATGAGAATGTTTAGTAAGGATTAAGTTTTATCTTTTTTTTGAAAAATGATTTACTCATAGATTATACTAACTTTATAAAAGGAAGAGTTAATTATTGATATTGAAATTCTTGGTTTCTTATTAAATTTGAGTTGATGATATATTGATTATTGATGATTTTTCTTGTATTTGTTATGAAATGAGTTACGTTATGCTTTAAAAGATGGATTCATAAAGGATTGTTTAGTGATCACTTGTTGAGTATAATTTCAATGTACTTAGTTGTTGGATTGATACAATAATGCTCTCTATTAGCTTTTACATTATAAAATTTAGATTATGGATGTGTTGAGAAGGGTATTGTGAGTTGTACCATAATTTCTTCTTTTGGTATTAAAGTTGGTTAATGAAAAACTTATAATTATTGTTAAGTGAAATTTAACTATATACTTCTTCAAGTTTTAGGTTCTTTGGGTTATCATGTTTATTATTTCATTTGCTAAGAGTTGTTAGTAAAGGCATTTTAGCTCATTAGTTCCAATATTAAAGTTGATATGTACATTTAGTAATCATTAGTAATGATTTGGATAGTTAAGATCCTTATTATAGATTTTATTTAATTATTGTTGATGTTAAATGATTTTCTGTTCTTCAAGATGGTGGATTATAATTTAATGATAATTATGCATCTCTATTGTTAAAATGATCAATAATCTTTCCTAATGGTTAGTTATTATCTTAGCTTTCTGCATTACCATATATTGTTTATAGTTTACTTTGGATTGGTTTCTTGGATTTGAGTTATTGATAAGATATTGTTAACACTTTCTTGAACAACTCTAATTCCTCTATATTATTGATTGGGATCTATTGAGACTAGTTAGTGCAATAATTTTTATGAATAAGTGTTTATTTATTTTTGCAATATTCATTCTGAAATGTTAATTATTATTACAGTTGGTTCTACTAGATTGGGATGTTATTTTCATTTGGGTGATATATTCACGAGCATTTTTCTTGCCAATTGATGATATTTATGAGTTTTTTTTATGATACACTTGCTATTAAATTTTATTTGAAACCAAGATGGAGTCCGAGATGGAGTTCGAGATGGACCCGAGATGGAGTCCGAGATGGACCCAAGATGGAGTCCAAAATGGACCGAAACGGAGTCCGAGATGGAGTCCGAGATGGACCCGAGATGGTGGTTAATACTATGACTTTAAACCATAGTGATCTTGGTGGTTTCTATATTGTATTGATTTATTATATGATAATTTAATTGAAATACTTTTGTGTTCTAATGTAAGATTTATTTATTGATAATTTATTGTCTTTAAGATATCTTTGTATATGACTTTAAGATTGTCTATCTATTGATCTTTGGGTTTAGGGATAGTATATGTAAACTAGCCTTGACACTTCGTATGTATGATGAAATCTTTATAGGATAATTGTTATCAATTGGTCACATCACCTATAATAGCCTTTTATCGGTGGGTTTGGTTTGTTTTTTTAAGAGGGTTAAGGTTTTTAATTTCTCTCTTTATGTCATATATAGGTAGGGGCATATCATTTTTTGTAAGGTAGATAACATTTAATATGGCAAAGATGGCTGACTTTGTTGGTCATTTCTATGTTGGTGAGAGCCAGAAGGTGTTTGAGTTGTAGGACATTTGCATTAAATTAAAACATTGCCTCTTAACTCATTTAAGTTGATATATTTCTCATAAAATATATACATTGCAAAATTTTTCTAGAATTGTTTCCTTGGCAATGGTCTAGACTAGCTTAGAGTATGAACTTACAAGGATGTTGATCCTACTTAAAGGGGGGAGAGAGTGTTGCAAATGTGATTGTGGGTATCAAAAATTATCTATTGATAAATCCTTTCAGATATTTTTTCATTATTGCTATGATGATAAAATGTCAATATTGCTAAACCCTTTATCAATCTGCACCCAAACTATTTGAGAAACTGATCTTCATATGTACATTTGGCCAAAGGATCATAAAGATGAAATTTTTAAGTACTACTAGTCAAATATACTTGACCTAATTAAAGAAACTTATTTGTTAACTTTCACTTACAAGTGTCTAAATTTGCAAGTGACGTGTATTTACAAGTACTTGCCCAGCAAATGCTGGGTGGTTTACAAAGAGGTTCAATATAAAACCTCTTTATAGACAGTGTTGATTGTAAAAAGAGAAGGATCTTGAGGAAGGAGGTGACCTTGGCGTGTGGTGTTTTGAACTTTAATTCCAAGTCCATGTGGTGATGTGCATTTTGATAAAGCCACATAAAGTTGCCCATGAGTGAAAACTAGGTGGGGCAAGTAAACTCCAACTCGGTCAAATGTCTGTCCTTGGCATTTAGAGATTGTTAAGTAGTAACCCAAACGAATTGGAAATTGTCATTTAGACATTTTGAACGGAATTTCTGTATTTGATGGTATTAGTGTGATACATGGGATAAAAACTCTTATCCCTTTAAATTGCACCATCACAATTTCACAATCTAAAACATTTGGTAGTGCATTTTTCAGAATGAGACATATGCTGTTACATAGTCTTGCTGATGAAGACATATTTCTTAGGAGGATAAGAATAGCACCTTGTTTGAGAGAGAGTTTATGTGGTGGGAGATTAGAAGGTGTGATAGAATTTAGGAATTTGGTTGGAAAATTTTCAAGATCTTCAGTATCAGCAAAATCAATGCTTTTGTAGATATATGTATCACATTGTAATCTAGAGACAATAGTGTTGTTGATTGCAAATGTATCATTGTTAAGTGGGGTAAGTATGATTTGATTGGATGCAATATAAGGGTTTGAAATATCAAGTACTGAAGGGTAAACAAAATCAATAATAGATGAATAAATTAGTTGTGTATGATGTAATAAAATGGCGTTAGAAGGTAAAGATGGTAATTTTCAAAAATTTTACCATTTCCAACTTTGAGAAGCCATTCAACCCATGATTTATCACTTTCAGTAAGTTGTATATTTGTTTTCAAAGATAACTTTCTAAATAATCTCCATAATTTATTCATTCTTACAGAACTTGAAACAATTTGTGCCCTATATCCATGTGGAATGACTGGAAGTGTTAATCTAAAGTCCCCGCTAGTGATAACAATTATGCCACCAAAAGGTAATGATATATTTTTTAGGTCTCGCAACACTCAATCAACAGCAGTGAATGCATGAGTGTTATCATTAGTTATAAGCTTCATTGCATTTGCGACTTGTTGAAACATGTCATAATAAATATTGTTAACTGTCTTGAGATTTTTGAAAGACGTAGCACTTTTTTTATGGAGTAAAATAAGAAATAAATGATATAGTTCAACATTAGATGGCGACACATAATACATTTGGGGAATGACATTTCTTGTATGTCAAATTTGCCAGTTATGAATATGAGGGTTAAATGTATAATATAAAGGGATTTCAGGATATGTATATTGTCTAGCATTTAGGTCATTTATATTTAATTCAAATCATTTTATCAATATCATACCATTTTGAGTAGCTCTTTGAAGTGCCATTTGTTTAGAACCTTCTATAAAATAGATATTTTGAAAATTTGGAAGATGGATAGAAAGACGGATTATAGGGGTCGAATGACCATGCATTTTAAATTTAAAAAGTTTTCATATTGCCTTTGGAACATATACATAATGTGTATTTAAAAAAGTTGAGATTTCATCCCAATTTAAAATATTATTAAGTTGTTGGGTTGCTAAATGGATTTCAATTGTAGCACAATCATAACCTTTATAGACATATTGA